TGTCTCATATATATATATATACACATCCACGGACACGCAAAGAGATTTTTTGTGTCGCCACAAAATCTGTTTCTCAAGGCTCAGGATAGTGTTCCGGGCAGTGGTGTGGAGCACAGCGTGTGTTTCCGGCCATCTGGTAGTTGTTTCCACCATCGTAAGCACATGGTGCTTGCCTTGGCGGGTTGGTGGGGGCGTGATATAATCCATCTGCCAGGCCTCCCCATATTCATACTTCAGCCACCGTCCTCCGTACCAAAGAGGCTTTAACCACTTGGCTTGTTTACTTGCAGCACATATTTCACATTTCTGAATGACCTGGGCAATAGTGTCCATTGTTAAATCCACCCCTCGATCATGAGCCCATCTGTATGTTGCATTTCTGCCCTCATGCCCTGAAGTGTCATGGGCCCACCAGGCCAAAAATAATTCACCCTTATGTTGCCAATCTAAGTCCATCTGAGCCACTTCAATCTTAACAGCTTTATCCACCTGTTGGTTGTTCTGGTGTTCCTCAGTGGCCTGACTCAGGTACATGAGCATCTACATGGTGTACCTTCACCACCAGGTTCTGCACCTGGGCAGCGATATCTTGCCACAGTGCAGCAGCCCAGATGGGTTTACCTCTGCTTTGCCAGTTGCTTCTGTTTCCATTGCTGCAAAAACCCCTCCAGGGCATTTGCCACCATCCATGAGTCAGTATAGAGAGAAAGTATTGGCCACTTTTCTCGTTCAGCAATGTCCAAGGCCAGCTGGATGGCTTTCACCTCTGTAAACTGGCTAGATTCAACCTCTCCTTCAGCAGTTTCTGCAACTTGTCGTCGAGGACTCCATAGAGCTGCCTTCCATCTCTGATGCTTCCAAAGCACTGGAGGGGCCCACTGGACTAGGTACTTGCCCATACAACCCCACACACCCTGCCACTCATGACTGTCCAGCCTCGGGGAAAATCTGTTGGTGGTCTTCCTACATCATCGTTTAAACCTAGACAAGACCCAAGCCAGATCCTGCTTAGCTTCCACGATCAGACAAGATCGAGTGTTCTCAGGGTGGTCACACCATAGGCAAAACAGAGAGAGCATATGCAGGAACAAGCTGGTTCCCAGCAAGAAGAGCAGGGTGCTTTCAAGGGCATTGAAAGGATATTCAGGATCTTTAACTCTTCCAGAATCTACTCCCACTGCAAATAGCCTGGTGGGGGAGCAGAGGGTGTGAGGGAATGTCTCCTTCATAGGTTGACCACCCGAGGAAAGGAAAAAGAAAGATGTGTAATTAATTGCTAAAAAATTCCATTACATGCCTCCCAAAGTATAGAGGTAATGACCACGCTGAGAACGCATTCTAGCTCAGTTTCATGATCAATGAGTCTATTGTATTAGAAGTCATTACCATAAAGTACAGTGAAACAAGAACCTTAGCCCAGCCCCCACCCCAGGTTGGGCCCCAAAGATATTCTGAGCAACCCTGCTGAGAAAGACTTGTGGGTGTTGGTTGATGAGAAAATGAACATGAGCAGGCAGTGTGCGCTTGCAGCCCAGAAAGCCAACCGTATCCTGGGCTGCATCAAAAGGAGAGTGACCAGCAGGTTGAAGGAGGTGATCCTGCCCCTCTACTCTGCTCTATTGAGACCTCACTTGGAGTATTGTGTACAGTTCTGGTGTCCTCTACATAAAAAGGACATGGAACTTTTGGAGCAAGTCAGTGGAGGGCCACAAGGATGATCAGGGGACTGGAGCACCTCCCATATGAAGACAGGCTGAGAAAGTTGGGGCTGTTCAGCCTGGAGAAGAGAAGGCTGCCTGGAGACCTCATAGCAGCCTTCCAGTATCTGAAGGGGGCCTATAGGGATGCTGGAGATGGACTATTCATTAGGGACTGTAGTGACAGGACAAGGGGTAACGGGTTAAAACTTAAACAGGGGAAGTTTAGATTGGATGTAAGAAAGAAGTTCTTTACTGTGAGGGTGGTGAGGTACTGGAACTGATTGCCCAAGGAAGTTGTGAATTCTCCATCCCTGTCAGTGTTCAAGGCCCAGTTTGACAGAGTTTTGGGCAACATGATTTAGTGTGAGGTGTCCCTGCCCTATGGCAGGGGGGTTGGAACTTCATGATCTTAAGGTCCTTTCCAACCCTATCTATTTTATCCTTCTATGATTCCCTGTGCAGCTTCTTGGAACGTAGAGTTAAGAGAAGCAAATGGCCTCAGGCCATCGGGTATCCCAGTCTGAAAAAAGGTTTTGGAGCCAGACTCTGTACCTCCATTGCATTCAACAGGTCTGCCTTCAGTACTACACTATGCAGCACCGCTCAGAAGAGGATTTCTCTTCTTGCATGCAGAATATGCACCATACTCCCTCTGTAGTTTTTTGGACTTTCAGTTGAGTGCTCTGTATGGTAACACTGCAGTTATGAACATTATAACTCGTTATTTACATCCCCATTTTTGGTGGTGCAGCTTCCAGCCGGAGCAATGAAACCTGATTAGATGGCTTTGCTTTCATTTCTGCTCCCAGTTAATTTGGGAAGTTAATGATAATAATAACTCTCCACAAACCAAATCAGCAAAACTTCTCAGAGTGCATTTCTGTTGACTGGATTTTTCATTAGTCTTCATGGTTCTTGAAGTTCTGCCTCTGCTTCCACACTAAAAGAAGGGTTTAGTAACCCTAAATCAAGATGAAGGGCATCGAGTGACTCAGATGTGGATCTCAAGGAATGTGTTTGTCTTTGGCATTTCAGAGATGGAATTACTGGAAAGATCTCCCACATGGATTTTATTAAAAAATTGCAAAGTCTGGGGCAGAATCGCTGCATGCAGGTACCTCTCATTTAGAGGAGGCTCTCAAGGTATCAAATGCTCAGCCCTTAGGGTAGATCACATCTATGATACGTTTATCTACCTGCTGTGATGATTTCATACTGCAGGTTCAGATTCTATTTTCACTATTTAATTTCATAGCCTCTCCCCATCAGGCTTTGAAGAAAATTTTTTTAAGCAATTGATAACTCTGCTTTAGACTGAAATGTCTTGAGAAAAGCATATCCTCTGCTAATACTTCACCAAGATCAATTAGCACTGGCCCCAAGGTTCATCATTTCCCATCATAGCTGCACATAGGTGGCTTTCAGGCGCTGTTGTCCATCTCCAGCCACACAAGTGACTTTATTGTGCCAAGATGGAAAAATCTTCCAGTGTGCATGGATGCTGCTGGAGTTCATTTTGCAGCAATTGCAGGTCCCTTCACAACTGCCTTGACACATGACTCCAGTCCTTCCTCGAGTCTGCTTCCTCTGGAAAATTCCACTGACACTGAAGGAAAACTGGTGGTGCTAACGCAATGCTTGCTTTCCTGCAAGAAACAAAACAGCTTTTAAATCAACAGTGGACTTTCCTCTTTCAGAAAATTGAGCTGTAACTGTCAGCCAAAACAGTAGCCAGGCTGACGTCACCGTCACCGGTGATTGTGGGTGATAAGGTTTGCTTTACCTATGGGAGCTGTCCCCCACAGGGAGGGGGGAAGGAAGGAAGCACTTTCCCCAGGAAGCTTATTTTCCCCTCTTAAGATTAGAAATGCTTTGGCATCAATTGCATAATACTCGAGCTATGTGGCTCTGCTTTTCCCCCTCCGAGTTCTTGTTGAATTCAATGACATACTTCAACCAGGGGTTATTGGGAGCCAGAGCACGTGTGGTTGGGAGCTGGCTGACCTATGCTGTGGTTTGACTTGCCAGCTGGATTTGCCTTTGTTCCTCCTCTTGTTGCCAAAACCACGTTCAGCTTCAGTTCTCCACTTGATTGCTGTAATTAAATTCCAACCAAATATACGTTAACATGTTCATTTGAAAAATAAAGCATTTAGTTATTTTAAGGTTAAAATGTGAGTTGATCTCCTAGCTCACCACCCCGAAGCAAGCAGGTGGGTTCTTTCCCTCCTCTGTTCACCATGGGTCAGCTCCTGCACTTCTTCAAACCCTGCTATGGGCTGGTTGGACACATCAACCCAGCAGTAAACTACTTTTATTTTGTTCCTATTGAATTAAGGAGTTTAGTTGGCACCTAGAATGCTCCAAAAAGAACCAGATCAAACACAAGACAAGAAGGAAAAAATTACCCAGTTGTAAGAGTGAAAGTGAGGAGAAAGCCTCCTCCCAGGATGTGCTGCTCTTGGATGTGAATGTGGGCAAGTTGGGTTTTTTTGAGAGAGACACACAATAAATTCTGTGGGAGACTTTTCTTTCTGAAAACTATTGCAGGAGAGTTGAGCCTGGATAGGGCAAGGGCATTTGTTAGTTGTTGGCTTTCATGTTTGTCACCTTGGACACTGCAGTGAAAAGCTGCTCAGCAGGCTTTATCCAGGTCTTGAGATGGATGCTGCCTGTGCCAGTATATTCCCCCTGTACCTCCCAAAGCACGCAGACTGTGGTTCCTCAGGAAGGGACATCAGAGTGGGATGTAGTCTAGTGTTATTCATGAGCATCCTTGCATGGTGCTCTCTTTCTCCTTTCTGCTGCTATCTATCCTGGAGAAGCTATGGCTGTCCCATCCCTGGTATTGTTCAAGGCCAGGTTGGACGGGGCTTGGAGCAACCTGCTCTAGTGGAAAGTGTCCCTACCTGTGGCAGGGGGTTGGAACTGGATGAGCTTTAAGGTCCCTTCCAACCCAAACCATTCTGTGATACTATGATTCTATGTAGGATGTTCTCAACCTTCTTTTTCCTCCTGCTTTGCACTTAGTTGCTTTGATGATACCCCAAAGGTCAAGATGGATTCAAAAAGAGTTTGTACTACATCTGCTGGAACAAGAGCTTGACCCTGGCCACGACTACTTAGTATTAACAGAGTATAAATAATAAGTCCAGTCTGTCCCAACCCCATATTCAGAGTCATGGTCTTCCTCCATGATTAGATACTCAGATATAATTGCCACTGTAATATGGAAAACTAGACCAGCCCACTGCAAATAATGTGCTGTGTCAAATAGCATGCATTAGAGCAGTGCTGGTGTCCTGGGTTCAGCAGCAGCAGTCATTTTTCTCCTTCTTACTAGCTGGTGCAGTGCTGTGGTTTTGACTTTCAGCCTGGGAACAACACTGATAATACCAATGTTTTTAGTTGTTGCTAAGTAATGTTTACTCTGACCAAGAACTTTCTGAGTCTCATGCTCTGCCAGGGAGGAGGGGACGCTGGGAGGAAGAAGAGACAGGACACCTGGCCCAAACTAGCCAATGGGGTATTCCATACCACAGCACATCATGCTCAGTACAGAAACTGGGGGCAGTTACCTGGAAGGGCTAGATCACTGCTCAGGTTCGGCTGGGTATTGTTCGGCAGGTGGTGAGCAGTTGTATTCTCTTCCCTTGTTATTTCCCTTATTATTATTATCGGTGGCATCAGTAGTGGTTTTGTGTTATACCTTAGTTACTGGACTGTTCTTATATCAACCCATGGGAGTTAACATTCTTTCTATTCTCCTTCCCATTCCTTCGGAAGGGGGCAGTGAGCAAACGGCTGTGTGGTTCTAGGTTACCAGCTGGGCTTAAAACACGACAGCTGGAAAGGATGATCATGCTGAGTGAAGATGCTGGTGAATAATGCTGAGCCATAACCCTGCTTGGGACTTTCTTACTTGGCAGTCAGCAATTTCATGTGCTAATACATAAGCATCCTCTTCTGAAGCTGGAATGAGATTTGTGGGATGGGTGAATGTCAAAGAAGAGTTTCTTCTTCCATAAAATTCTGTATATACTGGGATAGATCTGGAACAAATTGTAAAATTGCTGTAGTTATATCTGCAAAGACAGGAAAAAGAGTAGGATACTGCACCAGTCTTTAAATTCAGCATGTACAAGTTCTGGAAGAAGTGAGAAGCCATAGGAGTTCTGACTGTGTTTTATTACTGCTGAGTGAGGAGCAGATAAAACTTCTTAGTGACTAGTGAAGCCTTCAAAGGGCTGCTAATTATCCCCTTGTCTGTTGAAAAAGTGTTGTGGCAAGAAACTCAGTCCATAGGATTATTATAAAACTTGGAGGTTGCTTTTTTATCTCAAAAGGTAAGGGAAGTTGAATGGGGAGTGGTTGCTTCAGTCCTGTGACTAATGGGGTGGTACTGGCTGAACCCAGCAATGGATGGTGCCTTTCCTCCCCCAAATTCTCAGAGCAAGCGAGCTCATTATTTTGAGAAAAGGAATAAAGGCATCATTACTGGTAATTTGATGAGCACAGCAGGCTTCATAAACCTTTAAGCCAGCACAAAGTTTGACTAAAACCCAAGGGGGAAGGTTATAAGCTGGTAACTGAACAGACAGGTAATTATGCAGGTTAGAGTGAGGGTAAGGAAAAATCCCAAGTTAATTCACCCATAGATAAGAGAGGTAATAAAGTCCAGGTCTGAAGAAACTAATTTATCCTGGAATAATTAAGAAAGTATTGGTGCAGATGCTGAAAAATTAGCCCTGAATTATTTTCAGAGGGTTGTAGGGGAGAAGAGAACCAAAACAAAAGGGGAAATGCAATTAGAGCCCTTTAAAGGGAAGGGAGGAGAAGGAGGGTATTTAACCTGACTAGTCACATCCTCATGGTTATCAACAGGAGAACACATGTTCAGTAGTGTTTGTAAGCACTTAGAGAATAATATGGTGATAAAACACTCATTATGAACTGTTTTATGCTTAGTTGATGAGGTAACTGTCCCTTTTGTAAGGGTAAAAACAGATCAATGTGTCTTGACTGTGGTAAGGCTTGTGACACAGGTTCAGTTATTTTCTGATAAGAGAACTGTAGGAGAGTGATTCAGGCCAAATCTCTTCTCTTAGTGCCTGCTGGTTGTTTCCAGCAGTTTGCTGTATCAGATGAACACTCAAGGTCTGTCCTTAGTCTAGCTCTGGTTAGTATTTTCATTGTCCTGGTAGCTGCCTACCAGGTTTGGGTTGCTCCAGCTCTAGCTATTTGGCATAAGTGTAGGGAGAACCAGATTTCCTATTCCCTTCCCTCGTGCTCACTCCTTGGAGACCAAAAGCCAAAGTTGAAATCAGCTGGCTTGGTCAGTACAACAAAGTAGTTGACAAAACTCACAGGTAGTGCTGTTTTGATAGGCTTGCAGTCACTGATTTCCAGCATGATAGCTGCTCTAACACTTCATCACCCCAAAATGATGCTGAATATCCTGCAGTGGAGGTTAAGAGCTAGTACTGGTATAAAGGCTTGAATTCTGAGATGTTTTCCTGGTCCTGTGTTTCTATTAGCCTTACTATATTTAAATAAATAAATAAATAATCAATCCCACCTACTTCTCTTTGCTTTCCAGCCGTCAACCTGAGACACCAAAGAAGGAGAAGGAGACAGCCACACTTACCACCACTCAGTCCAAGAGAGCAGATGAATGGAAGGACCCCTGGCGCCGATCCAAGTCTCCCAAAAAGAAGCTTGGTGTGTCTGTCTCTCCCAGCCATGTGCACAGGTGCCGAAAAACCTCTGCTTCTTCAGCATCTGCTTCTGGCTCTTCAAGGCGAGTGAAGGAAAAGAGCATGTCACATCTGACCCATGATTAGTGTGTCAGGGAATGCGACATGATGCTTTCTTGTTGGTGGAAGATATTGAGATGTTTGGGAAAGCAGTTTAAGACTTGCTGCTCAGTAACAGCTATGGAGACCAACATACAGGTAGATACAGGTAGTGAGATGGAAGTCAAAGGGGGTATGTAACTGTGGGTGCTGTGTTGTGGTCTGTTGAAGACTAAGAAAGGTCCTTGGAAAAGTCACTCTTCAGGTAAATTAGACCTGGTTGCAATCCAGATGATTAGTAACTCGTCTAGATGACAACTGACCTTAATAAGAGCGGAAAGAGCTGGAAACTGTAAACATTGGAGCCTATTTGCTCTAGGAGTGCCGGAGGTATGAGGTGAGTCCACTTCAGGAAGAGCATGCTGATGCTATGGGGAAAAACTGGGTTTGTGGAGGCTCAGCACAGCTTTAGAGGGCTGCAGTGGAGCTCAGAAACCCAACAGGTGTGAGCTCAATGAAAAAAACACCTTTCAGAAAGAAGCACCCTGAATTGAGGGGAGTTTTCTTTAAATGCTTGAACTTGAAGCTCGGGGGGGGAGGAAGTATCAGAGAGGAATGAGGAACATGCTGAACTGAAGATATGGATCTAAAAGTCAAAGCCCTCCTGAAGCAGATAGCTTTTTCTTGCTGGGATCACTGCACCTGAGATTTTCCTGTTGTCCCCTGTGTGACCTGACCTATCAGGGGATTGTCTGGTGTAAAGGCATGAGAATGTGTGGAAGGAGTTCCTGAAAAGGGATAGAAAATCAGTAGCTAAAGGAGGGGAGGCTTATTCAAGGGCACAAAAGGGGTAGCAACAACAGGATTCTCTCTAAAAGAAAAGATGGAGGAAAGGCTGTAGTCCTGATAGGTCACTGTGGAGAAAGCAGGTAGGTTTTGGAGCAGTGTTTGAGAACTTGGAAAGTGCACTGGAAACAAGACCTTGGTCTCAGAGGACTTCTTGAGACACATTTAATTTTAATATGTTTCTTTCAGGTCCTCTTCTCGTTCATCCACCTATTCTGGTTCAGGTTCCTCGCGATCTCGTTCCAGATCATCTTCTTACAGCTCTTACTCTAGTCGCTCTTCAAGACACAGCTCTTTCTCAGGCAGCAGGTCCAGGTAATGGTTCCTTGGATGTGAAAATAACGGTATACTGTTTTCCAAACACTTGCTAACAGCTGCTTTTGCTGCTACTTAAAAGCAAATAGCTAACTCTTGAAATAAAACATTCAAACTACTTTCCTGAGTGAGGGAAATATGATAGACTGCAAGGCAACCTGCTGGTTTGGTTGTTGAATGAAGCAGATATGTTAGCCACCCCCTTCTCTCCCCATTGTTCCCACCCACGAATACTGTTCTGTTGTGGCTGGGCTGTTTCCCATGCCTGTGGTAGCTGAGCAGTTGTAGGAGCCTGGCTTGTTGCTGTAAAAGTTGGTTGGAGAAACTCTCTGACTCAATTTGGAGTTTTAGAAAGCAGCATTCTTTATTGCAGCACTGGGCACACACACATCATTTCGCAAAGGTGAGCGCACTCATTACTTGCCAGCAGCAGCTATATATTTAGCATACTCATGCATATTTACAGCTTTTCCAGGAGATGATTTACACATTCATGAGATTTCCATGAACTAATTATAATATTTGCATTCTAATTATGCATGTGCTTTCTTGCTGAGTGGGGGTCTCTGGTGGTCAAGGATAGTCTTCCTTGCTGTGTTTACTGAATGCATGTTCACACGGTCCTAGTGCCAAGTTAGCAGTGGTATGTCCTTGCTTTTGTTCTGTTCCAGTCTCAATGTTATCTTGAAGGTTAGCATTCTTGGTCTTATTTTCTGTCTTCTTATTTGTTAGCAGTCCTATGATGTTCCTTCCCCCATCAGCTGGACATTCCTTACTCCCCATGGGTTAGCAAGTTAGAACAATTTTCTGTATTTTACTATGTTAGTTTAAAGCCACACACACTATTGTTAATTTAAACCTATAATTTAAGCCTACATTTCCCCCCTTTGAAACTTATAGGATATACATATATCCTGTAAGTCTCATTCTATACCCTATACCCATATTTGATTGTAATACACCATTGTGACCAGCAGCTATAAAATTGAATCATGATACATGCAAGGATACAGACACAAATTATTACTAAAATGATCACAAACAAGTTTTTTAACAATATCCAATTTGGTAGCTAAGAAGTAAGTCCATGCCATAATTCTTCAAATCTTCAGGAAGTATCATCTCTAGCGGCCTGATGCAAGATCTTTGTCTGCTTCAGATTTCTGCTAGATCTGTGGATATTCTTCCACTCTCGTCTATGTATGTGCAACAACTTGTATTTATTACTGTCTAAACGCTGCCTTGAGAGGCAAATAATAAATCGAGAATTTTGCAGCACTACTTCACAGGCCATATTGGTGTGACAGGGGAAAGTCTCCGGCCAACCAGAAAACATATCTATTAGTACCAATATATACATATACCTGAGCCCATTGTGCTGTGGCAATTCTGTGAAGTCCACTTGCCAATAGTCTCCTGGACAATTATCTTTTTTGTTCCAGGTAGGGGTCTCTTAGCATGGTAAGAATTATTTTGTAAACAAGGTTCCTGCATTATTTGTCTATATTTTATAGGGGGCCACGAGAGATTAACAATCCCCTTTCTTTCCATATGACCCCATGGGCATGAACAACTTCAAAAGCAAATTTTGACTTTCTGACAATTCCGTAACTCTTGGTAGCACCATCAGCTTAGCTTTCTGTGCTGATGTGTTGGGGGGGGGGGCAGGGCTTTAGCCTCTATTATCTCGTGTTTGGTTACCAGGCAGAGATGAATGTTTCCCTTATTTGCATTTTATAATTAGAAGAAGTTACCAGCATCTCTTTTCTATTGTACTGGAATTTCTATTTAAAGAGGCAAATCACATTTATTTATTAAACCAGTTGTGTCTTGTGATAGTCCTGACACTTCAAAGTAGTACTTCAGTGTCCCATGCTGATCAAACAGAGGCATGTTTATTACCCTGCCACTTCCTTGCCCTTGCAGACAGTTTCCCAAGTCTGGGATATGCATAGTAGGAGAACTGGCTCCTTAGATAGGCACCTCTTCAGATCTGAAATCATACACATATCCAGAGTGGATCACACAGTTGATGGGAGTGCACAGTGTTGCTTCTGGAGACGTGGTTTCTCCTGGGAAAGGCTCAGGTGGGAGTTGATCTTGACGAAAGCACAAATGTGTTTCTGGGGAGCAGACTGACCTTCACCCATCCACCCCATTCCAGGCTCTGTTCCTTGGCAGGACAGCACCAGACAGAGATGACACACTTCAATTAGATGCCTCTGTGGGAAGGCAGGAGAGTAAGGAACACCCAAGTGCCTAACTGTTCTTCAGAAGGCAAGTCACTGAGGTGTCTGGCTTTCTGAAGTACTAGGCTGCAACAAGGGTACTTCCAGCCTTGGTGGTGGGGTGAATCACTTGAATGCCAGAATCTGGTGAGCTATGTAAGTGGCTTGCCTCTTTGGTCAGTCCTGATCTTAGGAAACAGCCTTTGCCCTTTGATCTGTTGGTTTTGATACACTCCACTTGATTCTTTGTGTTCCAGAAATTACAGATATCCAGTATTTTATTTTTTGTGTGTGTGTGTCTTTCTCCCAAGTTTGGGTTTGGTTTTGTTTGTTTTTTTTTTGCTGCTGCTGTTTAAAGGATAAACTGTACATGGAGTTACAGGAACATAAAGCAGTTTGAAACAAATCATACTGAACTTGCAAGTCAAAATCCTACTTGCATTCCCCTTATTTCTACCTAAGGAGAGAATACAGAGTATGGAGAAAGCCTCATGTGTTGGTTTGGGATACCTGAGAGTGCCTCTCTTGCAGACAAACCTATTTTTTCCTTTTGTTTTCTACTTTTACCACTGTTCTGGTGACAGAAGTTAGTTTTGTTGGACAGAATCCAAATATAAAACTAGGATAAGCTCAGACCCACAGGAACTAGTCCTGGGATGCAGTCTCTAGCCAAAGGAGGAGGTGATGGCTAAGTGCACCGAAAGCCAGAAAAAGCCATCTGCAGACCCAGGGACTGAGCAATGTGTTCTTCCTTTCTAGATCACGGTCCTTCTCATCTTCACCCTCTCCTTCTCCAACACCATCTCCACACAAGCCACTTGCGAAGTCTAAAGGGGTGTTGTTACCACCTGCTGGGAAGGGGTAAGGCTTCATCTCCATTCTGATAATGCAGTGTAGAAGAGGCTCCAAACAGGAGCCCAGTCCCCGAGTCAAACCCTTCTGACCTGGTCGACAGTTTAAGGAAGAAATGGATGATGCAAAATGACCTGCATAGAAGAGTGCTTAGCTTTACATATTTAATTAAAAGATGACACTTTTACTTATTAAAACCAACTGTACAAGTATCCTTAAGTATTATATGTATACATGAGTGTTTAAACACATGCATGATTTATTATTTAAACACTCTGTGTGTGCAGGTACGTTTATGCAGGAGCTATAAGAAAGTTTAATTCATTCTTCTACTGTGGCTTTAGTTAATGTACAGCCTTAGAATAAATAAATGGTTCAGCCTCATCTATTTTTAACATTGGTGACAAATTAAAACAGTACTGTAGGGATGAAACTGGTTTTGGGAAATTATGCCAGTGCTCCTGCTCTTTTAAATACTTAAAGTTGCTATTTCACAAACTCCTGTAATACATAGTAAATTATGGATACATCGGAAGGTGACAACACCATAGTGATGTCACCTCTCTCAAGGTGGCCTACAAATAGATTACACCATGGGAATCCCCCTGAATTCTCCAGAAGATAGGACAATCCTCTTTGCCACACTTCTTGTACCTTATTGACCTGCCTTTGTTGTTTTTCCTTCTCAATTCAGAGGGTTCAACATTTTCAAGATGCTCTCTGCCTGTGTTAGCGTAAGAACTGACACATAACCACCGGAATGGTTATATGAGGTGCTTTATTGCAGCGCTGGGAAACCAGGGGCATGCGCCCAAATCTGGCTTCGTCCTCGTCACATCGCGTTTGCAATTTATGCACTAAAAATCTCATAACTAATACATATTCAATACAGATTACATCATTGACTAATACATATAAATCAAGGATTGCTACATCAGTCTATTACGACATCAGCCTCTTTTGCGCTTGCGCAGCCCCCTCTGGTGGTCGTCCTGATGAAGTAAAGAGTCTTCCTCGGATGAAGTAAGAAGTCTTCCTCGGCTTGTCCTTTTCACCTTTCTGTTCTTTGGATACATCCCAGCCATTGTGTGGACGCTAGCATTTTCTTATCTTCCCTTGACTGCCTCTGGTATGTCTTTCTTGGCTACCTCAAGCGTAGGTTTCTGCTTGGGTAGATTTTCACAATACTTACTTCCCTAAATCCACCATACTCCCTTCACCATATATGGTTATGTTAGTTCTTGCTACCAAGACTACATTGTAAGATTTAGTTATAGAGTAACTATGATACAAAACAGCAAAGTTGCAACCTCCTCTAATATACAAAGCCTCAGGTGCTTTATAAATTTCTCAAATATAATCATTTTACTATTCTGTATGATTATCGTAAAACTTCACCCTTTTCCAACATTTCCCCCCTTTGAAAATACTTCATTTAACTTAAGCAAGTATTTTCATTTCCTTAGGTGATTGTCTCCTGATAGGTAGGTGGAGGTGTAGGGTGCTTTGGATATTCCCTAGTTACTGCTCCTATAATTCGATGGGTCCATGCACTGCTTCAGGCTATTTCCTTCCGGATACAAAGATACATCAGATATAGCATTAAAAATACAATCAGTATTACAATTACAGTTTGCATGAGGGAACGGACCCATCCTGTGAGGTGAAGGCCCAAACTATCGAAGAGTGCTCCAATCCAACTTTGTTCAACGTACTCTCTTTCTTTTTCCGCTTCTTGTTCTACTTTGGTCAACTGGGAAATATCGTATTCTATGTTCGCAGTTACGTTAGGAATATGAATACAACAATGGTCTATTCTGTCTTTCAAATATTCACAAACACCATGTTCTTTAATTAGTAACATGTCCAATGCCATTCTGTTCTGCAAGGTCATTTTAGTTGTTGCTTGTAACTGTAAGTTCAAATCTCTAAATCCTTTCTTTGTTACTCTTGCTAGTCTCTCTGTTTGACCAATCAGATTATAAATCATTTCCCTATTTCCGTAGTTTGCAACCTGGGCAAATAGGGATTCCATAGCCCCTCCTACTTTACTTCCTGTGGAGGGTTCCTGCCAAGTATCCTCATAATCAATATTTCTTTCTGTTTGAATTTGCAAAGTTTCCAATTTGCCTCTGAATGGTGATTTCTTCCATATTGGACAAAGTGTGGGTAATCCTAAGGTGATTTCCTTGACAAAACCATCTACAAATAAATGTGTGGTCCAAGACCCATCACTTGCAGCCCAGACAAAATGTCCTATACTACGTATAGTTGAAGACTTGCAATCTACTTTATACTTATAATCTCCTAAAGTTTTGCCTCTGCTCTTCAATCCTCGGCATGCACATGCTGCTATCAAAGCAATTTTAACTGGGAGTATTGCAATCTCTTCAGGGTCAGTATCACAATCCAAAATTCTCGTACAGTTCCACCAGGGAACATTTTTGATAGTATCTTGACTGACCTTATTCATTGACAGCAAGTTTATGTCTCCTGTTGCATTTTGTTTCCCTGTCCATTTAAGACATCAAGGTGTTTCTCCCCCATATTGAAATGTCTGCAAAATACTCGTTGACCAAACACTATCCCAACTTTCGTTCAAGCCATTTTTATTCTGACATTTCCATTCTATTTCTTCTTGAGGCATATTTCCTTAGCTTCGTAATATGTACACCATCCCACGTTTTTAAATCGTCCAATCGGTGAATAGGTGAAATTTAATAACTTCTTACAATCACTACGACTGCCCAGACTCTTCCAATTTTGTTTGACATATATTGTCTGTTTTTTCTGCACAGTTTTAGTTACCTGTGTGCACACTGTTTTATTTTCAATTTCTGGGAGTGGAAACGTTATTATTCCCCAATCAATTGGTTCTCCTGCTGCCCTTGGTATTGGTAAACATGCTGCTATTTTGCTTATATTCTGCATTTTTGCAAAATCCTTAATCAGGCCTATCATGAGATTTTCCTCAGGATCCTGACAGGATATTTGCACTATTTGTGTTGGATCCACTGGTCTTTTAATTCTTTTTCCTGTAACTTCAATTTCACTGTAGTCAATTGCAGATTTGTGATTTGCTTTCAATTCCATAATTTCCTGCAGAGTTGACAATAAATGTTCTTTCTGCATAATCTACACTTTCATTTGTTTATATAATGCATCAATATTTGCACTGTTCTATGAAAGTAAAGTTTGACAATTGTAATTCTACTACCCCTGCATTTAGGTTGTGCCCATTGAGTCTATTTTTAACTTCACCTTTTAGTTTCCATTTACCCTGCAGTTGAGTTTCATGTTTCTTACTGTCAAAGATTAGGTCTGGATATTGGGGAGGACTATCTACCTTTTCCCAAATTACCCTTATTGGCATTGATCCTACCGGAATGGTGTCTGTGAACTTGCAGGTCAGAATGGCATCTTGTCCTATGAGCCATGTCAAAACATCTCTTTTCTGAGGAATTTCTAAAAAGGGAACAACCGTCAGCTGTGTTAATGACCAAACAACAAAGTTTTGTAAACAAATCCAGACATCTTATTTACATTTTAGTTTTAGTCTCGTAGGACTTAGTACTTGTGTTTCCCAAACCTTTGGAACTTTCTTTACTCGTGTATGTATCCAAGAATCCACCCCTTCTACTTTTACTGCTGTGAACGTGGTTAACAGTACTTGATATGGTCCGTCCCACCGTTCTTTTAATGGTTCTTCATTCCAGTTGCAGGCGTATACTCGATCTCCTGGTTGGATATCATGTACTGGATTTTCCAAAGCTAGTGGTCTGTTCCACACCAGAATGTTCCGCAGTCGAGCTAAAGTCCTACCGAGAGACAGCACATAATTATAAACGTCTTGATTCCCTTTAATATGGGTATTAGGAGTGGGTTCCGGTGCCTCGTATGGCTTTCCATAGAGGATCTCATAGAGGCTTACTGACATCCCACTTCTGGGTTTTATTCTGATTCATAACAGAGCTATAGGTAATGCTTGTGGCCATTTTATTTTGGCCTCTTGACATGTTTTACTGATTTGTCTCTTTAATGTTTGATTCATCTTTTCTACTTGTCCACTAGATTGAGGCCTCCAAGGGGTATGTAAGTTCCATGATATCCCTAATAGTTTACTAACTTCTTGTACTATGGTTGCAACAAAGTGTGGGCCCCTATCTGATGATATCCCTAAAGGGACTCCAAATCGTGGAATGATTTCTCTGAGCAACCATTTCACTGTTTCTTTTGCCTGATTGGTGCGACAGGGAAGGGCTTCCGGCCATCCAGAAAAGGTGTCAACCCCTACTAATAGATATTTTATACCCTTGTACCTTTGGTAGTTCCACAAAATCAACCTGCCAATAATCTCCTGGTTCCACCCCTATTCTAATTCTTCCCATCTCAACTTGTCTTTTTACTACTGGATTATTTTTCAAACAAATTTCACATTTTGACCCCACTGCTTTTGCCATAGTTAGCATCTGTGTGAAAATTATTCCTCTTTTTAAGTAAGTTACCAATGCTTCTGCACCCCAATGACATTTTTGATGTTCAGTTTGTAGGATTTTTCGCATTATTGCTGGTGGTACTATTACTTGTCCAGTTGTTGTTGTATACCACCCTTCAGAATTCTTTTGAGCCTTTAAAAGTCCTGCCAACTTCTCATCTTCTCTTGAATATTTTGGATCTTGTGGAAGATATGTACGGAGTGGGCTTACCTTAAGAATTATCAGGGCCATCATGTTCCATACCTTCCGGGCAATTTGTCGAGCTGTTCGATCTGCCAGTGTATTTCCTTCAGATATCTTTGAAGTTCCTCCTTGGTGTGCTTTACAATGCATAATGGCTACCTGTTTGGGTTTTTGTACAGCAAATATCAGTTTCAAAATTTCCTCTTGATATTTTATATGAGTTCCTTGTGAAGATAACAGTCCTCGTTCCTTCCATAATGCTCCATGTATATGTACTACACCAAACTCATACTTTGAATCAGTCCGTACATTTACCTTTTTGTCATCGCTCAGTTCCAACACTCTTGTAAGAGCTATCAGCTCCGCCCGTTGAGCTGACATCCCAGGAGGCAATGCTTTTGCTTCAATTACCTCCTGTTGCGTTGTCACAGCATATCCTGCGTACCGTGTCCCGTTCTCCACAAAGCTGCTTCCATCTGTGAAAAGTTCCCAGTCCGGTTGTTCAAGAGGTACATCTTTTAAGTCTGTTCTGGTTGCATATGTATGCTCGATGACCTCTATGCAGTTATGTTCAAGAGTTCCTTCCTCTAAGTCGGTTCCTAGAAAAGCTGCTGGATTTAACAGGTTAGTGGTTTTTAAACTTACATTGTTTTGTTCTGTTAAGATTGCTTAATATTTCATCATTCTGCTAGGGGATAACCAATACCCCCCTTTTTGTTCTAAGACAATTGTTACCATATGTGGTACAAACACTTCAATATGCTTTCCCAGAGTCAGTTTTCTGGCCTCCTGTATTAGGCGCTACCGCTCGTAACCATGAAGGCCATCCCGCACTTACTGGGTCCAGTTATTTTGAAAAATATCCTACTGGTCTTTTCCAGCTTCCAAGTTTCTGGGTTAATACTCCCAACGCCAATCTCTGTCTCTCATGGACAAATAACTGAAAGTCCTTTGTCAAATCTGGGAGTCCCAATGCTGGTGATTTCGTTAACGCCTCCTTCAGTTTTTTAAAGGCCTCTTTCTGTGGTTTGTCCCAAACAAAAACGTGATTTTTGGGCTTCATACAGGGGTTTAGCAATGAGTCCATAGTTCATTATCCACAACCTGCACCATCCTGTCATGCCCAAAAATGTCCTCAATTCATGTAAATTTCGTGGTTCTTTGAATGGTGCAAATTGCCTCTATGCGGTTTATTCTCAGTTTTCGCTGTCCTTGCGAAATTTCACATCCTAGATACAACACAGTTGTACATGCGATTTGTGCCTTTTCTTTCGAGACTTTATAACCATTCAGGCCTATCTGATTCAGGATTTCAATAGTCACTTTTATGCATAACAATTTTTGTTCTGTTGCAATAAAGATGTCATCTACGTATTGCAATAAGAGATATTGTGATCTCGGTACCTGTACCTTTCCTTGAGTGTTCCATGCCTCCAGCTCCTTAGCCAATTGGTTCCCAAAAAGGGTTGGACTGTTTTTGAATCCTTGTGGTAGTCTGGTCCACGTTAGTTGTGTTTTTCGTCCGCTCTGTGGATTCTCCCATTCAAATGCAAACAATTTCCTGCTACTTTTATCAAGAGGAATGCAGAAGAAGGCATCTTTTAAATCAATCATTGTAAACCATTTATATTTTTCCTTCACAGATGTTAACAGTGTATAAGGATTTGCTACTACTGGGTGGATATCTTTTGTTATTTCATTTATTGCCCTCAGATCCTGTACTAACCTATATTCACCATTTGGTTTTCTTACTGGAAAAATTGGAGTGTTATATTCTGATTCACATTCTTCCAAAATTTGATATTTAAAAAAAAAAATTCTCAATTGTTTTTATAATCCCATATCTTGCTTCTAGCTTCAGTGTATATTGTTTTATTCTTACTGGCCTAATTCCATCTTTTAGTTCCACTGTTACTGGTTGAACTGTTTCTGATTTTCCCGGGATTTCTGTTTCCCAAACTACTGGTATCACAGCCTCTTCTACCTCCTTTGGGATTTGAGCAATAGGCTTTTCTTTAAGAACCAGGATCTGTCCTACTTTTGATTCGGGAATTTGCATTATTAATTCACCATTTTCAAAAATGATCATTGCATCCAATTTGGCCAATAAGTCCCATCCTAAAAGGGGAATGGGGCATTCTGGTACATATAGAAATTCGTGTGTTAATTCCTTCCCTCTAAATCGCAGATCTAGGGGCTGCAAGAATGGCTGTATTTCCTCCTTCCCTGTGGCTCCCACAATTGTCGTAGTCCTTTCCCCTAACCTCCCATGTAAATCATTTAAAACTGAATAGGTAGCCCCTGTGTCTATTAAAAATTTCACTTCCTTTACTCCCAATTGGACTTTCATGAGGGGCTCTTCATTTCCCGCCCTGCCTAGTCAGCTTTGATTATCAAACTCTCCTAGCACCATCGCCTTAGCTACATCAGATCCCATAAAAGGATTCCCTGGGGACATAAATTGTCCTCCCCTAAATGGACACTCATTTTTCCAGTGTCCTTCCTGTTTGCAACATGCACATTGATTATACCCTATCCTTTCTGTACTCATCCCCACGTTTGGATTGCAGAATCCCCTTCCCTTTTACAATATAACATCAATTGCAGTATAGTGTTGTATATTGTCCCATTTTCAGGCCATTTCTCCTGATCCTCTAGTTCATACTGTGTCCACCATACATTACAGTAATCAATTAGTTTACTTTTCTTCATACTCTGCCCAAATCGACCCTCCTTCCAGTGGCTTAAAAGACAGCCTAATGGGGACGACTTAGGGATCGACGACATTTTACAAATACAAAGAGATCTCTAAAACAAGTTTCTTTCACACCACACACACACACACACACACACACCACTGAGTTACAATGTCTAGCTAGACAGATGCTGATCCCGCAGCACAAAACCAAACCAAAAAACAGACCAGATTTGCCGAACCTGCAGAGCTTTCACTACTGTCTAACGGATGGCGCCTAGGCTTACACCGGGAGCTCCCTGCCCAACCAAGCGCAGCTTTTGCAGCGTCTAACAGACAGGTTTTACCATTAGCCCAACCAAACGCAGCTTTTCACCGCGTCTAACAGACTTTACCAGAAATCGGCACCATGACCAAATCAAAAAAAAAGCACCTTTCTTACCATATCAGAGGTCCGTCGTGAGCAGCAGAGGTCGGTCGCGGTTGATGGCTCCCCGAGAATCTCTCGGTGCTGGCTGGAGCAGGATCGAGATGCAATCCGCCTCAGCAGTGCCCGCAAGGTCCCATCTGGGTCACCAAAATATTAGCATAAGAACTGACACATAACCACCGGAATGGTTATATGAGGTGCTTTATTGCAGCGCTGGGAAACAAGGGGCACGCGCCCAAATCTGGCTTCGTCCTCGTCACATCGCGTTCGCAATTTATACACTAAAAATCTCATAACTAATACATATTCAATACAGATTACATCATTGACTAATACATATAAATCAAGGATTGCTACATCAGTCTATTACGACATCAGCCTCTTTTGCGCTTGCGCAGCCCCCTCTGGTGGTCGTCCTGATGAAGTAAAGAGTCTTCCTCGGATGAAGTAAGAAGTCTTCCTTGGCTTGTCCTTTTCACCTTTCTGTTCTTTGGATACATCCCAGCCATTGTGTGGATGCTAGCATTTTCTTATCTTCCCTTGACTGCCTCTGGTATGTCTTTCTTGGCTACCTCAAGCGTAGGTTTCTGCTTGGGTAGATTTTCACAATACTTACTTCCCTAAATCCACCATACTCCCTTCACCATATATGGTTATGTTAGTTCTTGCTACCAAGACTACCATTGTAACATTTAGTTATAGAGTAACTATGATACAAAACGGCAAAGTTGCAACTTCCTCTAATATACAAAGCCTTAGGTGCTTTATAAATTTCTCAAATATAATCATTTTACTATTCTGTATGATTATTTTATCGTAAAACTTCACCCTTTTCCAACACCTGCAGCAATGTCTTTACACACTTCTGGCGCACATTGAAGTGCTGGTTTGGTAACACATAACACGATCCAGCAGCCTGCATTAGCATGGGGATTGGTTTTACTACATAACATTGCATGCGCTTAATCCTGTGTTCTGCAGAGAATAAATGCAGATATTCTTAAGCACAAGAGGAGGAATTAAGAGTCTCTATTTTTATATACAGACAGCTGCCTCCTCCCCAGTTAATACTAGGTGTGACATCAGTGCTGGGGATGTTGAGGAGTAACCAGAGGTTGGAGTGCTCTGAGCCCAGAAGTGATCAGTGCTGAAGAGCCAAAGCACTACTCGCGTAGTGGGTGCTAGATAGTCTCAAGCATTGTATAGCAGTCCTCTGCAACACTGTTACCCATCAAGCATTACACAGGGAAACATGAGCCAAGGATGGGTCCAAGAGACATCTGCACATATGTCCTCTTTTGCACCCTGATCTGTGTGATGGAATGAAAAAGGATTTCTGCATAAACTATGTGTATTTGATTCTGAAGCCTGACTGGCAGATTTTAAGTAGGTGTATGTGTTTTGGATAAGAATGCACAGAGTCAAATGGATAAGAAACAGTGATTCCACATAGTCTACTTCAGTAGTTAATTTACAAGTCGAATGTCTCCAAAATTGGCTGTTGTAAAGTAACTTATGTCTGAAAAGGTGACTTGATTTAGAATATGGGAAATTGATCCCTTTAGGGGAATCCGTATTGAGTGTGGTTTGGTGAAACAGCAAGTGTCTGTAGCTACAGTAATCTATATAACATTCAGTCATCAACAAACATGAGTGCATTTCATTACTTTTTGAGAATGTTTGTGGTCTGTACCGACCAACTTTGATCACACATGAAAATCTTCCTTTTTGTAGTGAAAAGTCTGTGAAGAAACTAGCTGCCCTTCCAGTCCCTCAGCCACTCACTAAAATTACAACAGCTGCACCTGAGTCAGCCAAACCAGGGGATAATCCAGAGGCAAGAAGGAAGGAACGTCAGACAAGGACTCCACCCAGGAGGTAAGAAAGCTGTGGGGTGGAGTTAGCCTTCATCTCCCAGCAGATAGAGCAAATCCTGGGGTTCTCTCAGGAGTCCTGACTATAAGGGCTCTTCAGTATTAAAGGAGAAATCTGTTTCCTGGGGCAGGAAGGAAACAGGAAGAGAGGGAAAGAGTTGGGGGTGAATGTGACTTTGCCACAGCAAGTGGCTCCTGTCTCTGAAGGCTGGATGGGGGATGAAGTAGGTGGAATGCATTAAATGTGTCAAAAAGCAGAGTCTGCAGTGCAAAAAAAGGCATATTTAAGAGCCACTGGTTGTAGAGGCCATGCAGAGGTGTGTTTGGTCCGGAGAGCAGATCTGACATGTTGGAGTATTGAGGTTTGTGGTGATGGGTTTGGACCATGTTTACTCTAAACATGTACCAGTGTGCAGGGGGTGTTTCTGTGTGGTCCTGGGAGCTGATTCATCAGCACTCAGTAGAACCACTGGAGGAGAGGAAGAAAAATTCCACTGCTTTCACCGTCCCACATACACAACTTGTTGGCTCCCCTGCTCTGCTTTCTCTTCCTGGTTTCATCCTGTGTGACTAGTTTGAATACTTCAAGTATCCTGTTCTGCCTGTCCTCTAACTGTTTTAGTCACCTTTCTCCTCCTTTTGCATTTGAAATGTTTTCAAACAAGGAGCAATTGTCTGTATTTAAATGTTTATCAGGCTTAATCAGGTACTGAGTTTAAAAATCTTAACAGGATAAATGCAGGTAGCACTGCCTGTTCTTGAAGGACAGGGAGCCAGCTAAGCACAGCTGAAACTCATCACACATCCTTCTTACACTAGAAGTTTTGAAATGGCAGTATGGTACCTTTGTGTCTAGTCTATGGAAGCAGCAGTTTGGTGCATAAGAAGTGTATTTACTAGAAGTGCCTGGTTTATGGGCACACAAGGAGACTGAGAACACTTTATGTCTGCAGTCAGGCATATATACTTTTCATGAATCATTGAATGATACTTTTTGTCAGTGTGTTTTGAAGATGGCTGGAAGTATAGTTTCTGCTCAGGTTTTCAGAAGCATTCTGAGTCAGTTCTTAATTTTGCATGCAATTACATCTCCTATTTATTCACAGTAGCTAAAGAAAAGGCCTGGGCTGAGCAGTTATGTCTCCATAGGTGAAAACAGATCGTGGCAGTTTCTTTTCCATAGAAATTCTGTCAGTTCTAGTTTCCATTTCACCTACTTTAACTAATTAATAATAATCTTGGATATCTTTATTCATCTTCCCTTATTCTTTATTTCAGTCTTGGGGTTTGGGATTTTTTTTTTCCGTGCTTATACCCACACAAACCCCACTCTAATCTCCTTGCTGTGCAAATGACAACAGCTCTATTTATATTAGTATTGGTGTGTTTAGTCACAAAAAAGGGGTATGATTATTTGTAAAGCCTGAAATACAAGGTAGTTCCTGCTGTGGAGTTGCAGTTAGCAATTTCTCTCAGTAAGAAGCATTTGCTCCTGGTATCAGTACAGGATTAAGTTGCTTGAGTTCATTCTTTGCCTGGCTTTCATTAACATTATCCAGTCTTGCATAAAACACCTCCTGTTCAGAAAACGGATGCTTCCTCAGGACTGCAAACACAAAGTTGAGAAGAACATTTGAAACAATTACATTTACAAAGCACCAATGTTGGATGCAATACAGGACAACAGCATCATGCTCAAACTATCCCTCAGCAGTTTCTTCCACCTCTGTTTCACAACAGTGTAGCGAGGTGACAATGTCATTTGCTGTCTTGCAGGCAGACCATCAGCAGCAGCATCAGTGGCAGTGCCAGCAGCTACAGTGGTTCCAGTTCCCAATCTAGGTCCTTGTCTCAGTCTCTCTCCAGATCTCATTCTAGGTCATCATCTGCATCAGTCTCCCACTCTCCATCTGGATCCAGGAAGTCCAGGTACAGCCTTGACCCTTCATAACCTTTGTTGAAGAAGGGGGAGATTATAACTATTGTTCACTGTTGTGGTTTTCACAGCAAAAGCTCTCTGTAGCTTCAAGTATCAGAAGCTGTAGGTAGGTGCCTAGGATGTGAAACAAGACTGTGTGTGTGATGTTACAAATCCCAAGTCCTGAATCATAGCATAGTTAGGTTTGGAAAGGACTTTAAGATCATCTAGTTCCAACCCCCCTGCCATGGGCAGGGACACCTCACACTAAACCATGCCACCCAAGGCTTCGTCCAACCTGGCCTTGAACACTGCCAGGGATGGAGCATTCACAACCTCCCTGGGCAACCCATTCCAGTGCCTCACCACCCTCACAGTAAAGAATTTCTTCCTTACATCCAATCTAAACTTCCCCTGTTTAAGTTTTAACCTGTTACCCCTTGTCCTGTCACTACAGTCCCTAATGAATAGTCCATCCCCAGCATCCCTATAGCCCCCCTTCAGATACTGGAAGGCTGCTATGAGGTCTCCAGGCAGCCTTCTCTTCTCCAGGCTGAACAGCCCCAACTTTCTCAGCCTGTCTTCATATGGGAGGTGCTCCAGTCCCCTGATCATCCTTGTGGCCCTCCTCTGGACTTGTTCCAACAGTTCCATGTCCTTTTTATGTTGAGGACACCAGAACTGTATACAAAACTCCAAGTGAGGTGTCATGAGAGCAGAGTAGAGGGGCAGGATCACCTCCTTCGACCTGCTGGTAATGCTTTTTTTGATGCAGCCCAGGATACGGTTGGCTTTCTGGGCTGCAAGAGCACACTGCCTGCTCATGTTCATTTTCTCATTGACCAACACCCCCATGACAGTAGTATGACATTGGTAGTGTCCTTGTGGTTTATTCAAGGAAATAATCTGTGTGCTGAACTGTCAATTTTTACCTAAATTATGACTAAAATATTTCTCTATGACCACATCCTAATTTATTTAGAAGTTAACAGTTTCAGGCTACAGAGCTTTGCTCTTCTGAACCTCAACTACCTCTGGTTACTGAATGTCCTTAGGGAAGATGCTTGGCCTGTCTGGAGAGGTAGGTCAGAAAATACCTAAAAGGCCCAGCTAATGATATTTTTACTTTGCTGGCAAAGTTGCATGGCCAGTTCCCTTTGTGTTTAGCTGCAAGTGAATAGTTATATGGCTGTTTGTTAGTCTGTGGGATTTGTAAACAGCTAACTCCCTCCAGTAAAGATTAATTAAACAAACCTCTTTCAAGTCATTCATCAGCTATTTTGCACCTGTTCACACGCAGAAATCCCTGAAAACTCACAGGCAGCCTTGAAACACTTCCCTGTAATACAGTAGACCTGTAGTGTAAAACTAGTGGATTAAGTCAGACTTTGGCTCTGACCAGCAGTAGTTCACATATCTGAACTCTGTGAAACTCCAAGGTTTAACATCTGCATTATTTTACAGAAATACAAACTTGTTTATTACATTCTTGTCGCATTCATCAGATTGGGCAGGGGTGATGCAAGAGGTTCAGAGAGTGCTCAGGCATGCTGGCTCTGCACTGCACTGGGCTTGAGAGAAGAAGATGGGGAAAACTTAACGCAGGTGTTCCTTGCATGGCACTGGGGCTGTGCTTGCTGCTTTTTCAGGTGTGGGAAAGAGCAAAATATAGTGTATGCCCAAACCAGATCTGCTGTCACAACCTTGTAGCCAGGAGCTTTCCTGGAGAAGGAGTTTTAGACTCATCCAGTCACTGTTGAAGCAGTCATAGAGTCTTTTGATGGTTGAATGGTTTGGGTTGGAAGGGACCTTAAAGCTCATCCAGTTCCAACCCCCTGCCACAGGCAGAGACACCTTCCCCTAGAGCAGGTTGCTCCAAGCCCCTTCCAAGCTGGCCTTGAACACTGCCAGGGATGGGGCAACCACAGCTTCTCTGGGCACCCTGTGCCAGCACCTCAGCACCCTCACAGGGAAGAACTTCTGCCTAAGAGCTCATCTCAGTCTCCCCTCTGTCAGTTCAAAACCATTCTCCCTTGCCCTGTCACTACCTGCCCTTGTCAAAAGTCCCTCTCCAGGTTTCTTGTAGCCCCTTTAGGTACTGGAAAGCTGCTATTGTCTCTGTCAGGATGCCATCAGGTAGAGACTTTGCAGCTCCTTCCAGGACTCTGTGCTAAAGCTGCCACAGCCCGTTCAGTCATTCCCAAGCCAGCTTCCAGCGAGTGAGCTTGGACCTTGCTGGCAGGGCAGTCTCTGGAGCACAGAAGTCAGTGTGGCCTGCAGAACCTGCTGGAGAGGCTGCCTGAATATTCATGCAGTTAATGTATGCCTGGTCCCCCATGGTGGTGGCAGCCCCAGGTAGCTGAGATTGTTGGAACCACTTCAGTATAGCGAAGCTCTGGTGGTGGTGGTGTGTCCCTGAAGGGAAGTCTGATACATAGCCCTGTATTTTTGTCTGTTACTTTTCTAAGTAGAAAGTCTTCCTTAATATAATGATTGACACTTCTAAGGTTCTGAATCCATGAGAAGATAGCTATCTTATATGCACTATTAGAAGATAACCATCTTAGAAGCATCTCCCCTGTCCTTATCAGTCATGACTGTTTATGCATCCTCAAAACAGGCATCTGGGCTCTCCTGTGCCCTGGGGAGCTGGGCAGGAGTTGTGGGCTGTAGGACTCCAGGGCTTTTAAAGCCTCCATGAATAAATGTGTGCCAAACAACAAAAACATTGCCAGAGAACCCTTGACCTGAGCCATAACACTGACCTGTACATAATAGCGCACACCCTGCTTTCACTTTTTTGTTTACCTGGGGAAACAGTGACCTGTTAACATATTGCCTTAATCCTGCTTATAAATAAACAGTACTTTCTAGGTTTGCATCTAACATGTTTGGGATTTCTTATATCATATGCACCCCAGGAGGCATGGCCTTTGTCTCTTCCTGGTTAATGCCTGCCTTAGCAGCTTTCTGACATCCCAGCCATGCAGGGGAATTGAGAAAAAGGTGTCTGCCTCATCACTGCCTAGTTCTTGTTGCATTCATGACTGTAATGGGCTGTTGGTTCTTTCCAGGTCCCTGAGCATGAGCAGCGTTTCTTCTGTCTCTAGTGCCTCCTCCAGCAGCAGCTCTGTAAGCAGCGCTGACTCTGAAGACATGTATGCGGATTTGGCCAGTCCTGTTTCCTCAGCCAGCTCCCAATCCCCAACCCCAGCACAGCAGAAGAAAGGTAGAGGTACCTGGTTTGGAATTTTCTTCTCTGAGGGGTCCTAGGAAAAGAAGGGGAGGAGCAAAGACCTGCATACAGCTTGCTTGGTGGTACTACGGGCTCCAAGAAGATTGTTGAGCAGAGGCTGACACTTGTGGCTGGCATAGAGTAGGGTTGTCCAGAGGCTTCATCTGAGGAGGGTAAGAGTGTGGAGAAGGGAGGCTTTGGAGCAAATATACATTTGCATCCTTCCATCCATCTGGCTGTAAAGATGCTTTTTCCTGCCTGGGAGTTCTGCCTGATGTCCCCTTTCTTACCTTGTTCTCTTTCACCCTTGTGAGGTAAAACTAAATCTTCTGGATAACTCCAGTATCTTGTTGCTCCTCCTCTGTTCTTTTTGGACTGTAGCAGAGTTGGCAGCAAGAGCCTTTTGTTCTTTGTCTTTTATGTTAAGTGGCTTCTCTGTGGAAATTCTGGTTTCCTGAATCTTTTAACCTTGGGGCCATGTGCTGTGCTAAGTGATGTGGGCTTTTTCAGTCCCTGGAGCAGCATCCTCTTGTCCTGCCCTCCAAAGGGAGGGCAGGCAAAAGGAAGCCAGCCACAAGTCACTACACTTACTCTCTGGTTTCAACAGGAAAGTCAAAAAAAGAAGATAGCACTAAAGAGGAGAAGCAGAAACGGGATGTGCCTGCTCAGCTCCTGAAATCAGCCAAGCCCACCCAAGGGAGCAAATCACAGCAGCTCCTCCAGACCCAGGAGCCATCAGCCCCCCAGTCTCAGCAGGGAGGCTTCAGCACTCACAAAGAGATCAAACTGACTCTTTTGAATAAGGTGAGAGGTGGGATGGCTTCGATTCCCTCCGCTCAGGGATCCAAGGAGCAGATGGGATGGATACTGGGGCTCGGGGCTGGCAGTTGATGCTCCAGACTCCACACTGTTGGAATGAGCTTAGCCGGGTAGGTCTGCAGCTGGGATTGAAGGGCAGCACAGAACCAGTCTGGCAGCACACACCCTGTGGTGGGACTGTGTTGGCGGCTCCCCTGGGGCACATTCCTGTTGCAGCTTCAAGGGCTCTTACCCACTTTCTCAAAGGCTGCAGCTGGAGCACTGAGGCAAAGGCATGCACGGTGCAATCAAAAATGTGCCTGCTGAAAGCATGGTTCCTGCATGCTTTGTAGTGAGCTCTCCTCCCACCGCCCACTCCAGAGCAAGCTGCTGACAAGTCATTAACTAAGTCAGGAGGTAAAAGTGGCGATTGCCTCTCCTCTCTGAGGTGCTCACACTTTCTGCAGGAAGCCTGGCTCATTTCCCCTTACGTCTGATGTCTCAGTTTAGTGCCTTTGGCTGAAATTGCAGTCCAGATCACGTGGGAGAGTTTGGCCTCGTGGAGTTTTGTGTTGGAACAGGGAACCCTAATCACATGGGTAGGTTCCTGGTGTTGAAGCATTAATGTTTTTTTTTCTGACAGTCTAAATTCCCCGTTGCAGTCTAAGGCTGCAGTTTTCTCTACTTCCCTGTGCTATGACATGAGGAGCCTTTATCAAGTCTGTGAAGCATGCTCCATGGGGAGAAGTGTGCCATGACACATAACTACCACCTGGCAGGGTTGGATCCTAGAAGAAGGCATAACTCTACATGACTCCTTGACATTTGCTATCCATGGTGCTGCTGGAAAAAATATTCTACAAAATGCTGATATTTTTTGTTTCTGACCATTATGAAAATAGCCCTAGTGCCAAAGAATGTTGCTGTTTTCCTACAGTGGTAGGGAAATTACATGGTGCCAGTGATGGTTGAGACTGGTATGCACAAAACATTTAATTGGAGTCACACTTGCATGAGCCAGCAAGTACATCATGGGCACCCATCACAGGAAATATTTCTGCCTGCTTCCCTCCCCAGAGGGAAGTAGCTGCTCAGCTCCATTGTCTCTTTTAATTCCATTTTAGGCATCTGACAAAGGAAGCAGGAAAAGATATGAGCCAGCAGACAAAAACAGGCCAACCTCTCCTCCAGCCAAGCGGGTGAACCTGTCGCCTGACAGAGGTGAGACATCAGCCATCCCAGGGGCTCCTGGCCTAGCTGGGTTCCTGCTCTACTGCTCAAGGTGGTGCAATTGTGACAAATGTCCTGTGAAAGTCTCTGCTGCAAGAGTCAGTTAACCTGCAAACGTTGATTGCAGGCATGTGTCCTTCCAAAACCTCAGAAGGTGTGATTGCCACCAGATTACGTGGGTATATTAGCTGTCCTGCTGCAAAAACATGGTGGAGGTGAGACACTGGTTTGTGAAGTAAGCGAGGTGAGGTCAGTCCTGGGCAGCCAAACCTGGCCTTGCCTAGCTGCCTTGTGATGCACATTGCAAGTGCCTTGGCTCCACTATGTCTGTGCAAGTCCACTGCAAAAAAGCTCTCACTTTGAAGATACAGTGTGCGCATCTCTGCTGTACGTAACGCATCCATCCCACAGCAGCCTCCTGTTCATTAATAATGATGTTAGATGTGGCTGTGGAAGTCAGAGGGTTTTCCCTTACTGTATCCTGGAGTCTTCTGTGCCTCGTATTTCAGTGCATCACAATGGATCTTAGTCTTCCTGACTTGTGGCAGTGCTTAGAAAGGGAACATGGGCTGCCAAGGCTCCAGGATGGATGCACTAACTGGCTTGATCATCTGTCCTGTGAAATGAGGTGATTTTTCCCACCTGTATGTGACACAATCTGATCTGCCCTGTATGTTTAGAAAGACACAGGCTTTCCAAGTGTTCTCCTGTGTCTGAATCATCATCATCAGAATTAGCACCTTGGAAAACTGAGCTAGTGAGCTACATTGAGAGGGGCCTAACTGCCACGCTCCAGCCTTTGCTATCACTACTGAAAATCAAGTTGTTGGTGCCTGGTCTTGATGTACAAGCCAGCATTGACACATGATGTTGTTTTCCCTGTTGTCTCAGCAGGTATCTTATTGACTCTGGGTGCCAGCCAGAAAAAAATTCTGTGCTAACAGCCTGGTTTCATTCAACTCCTACAAAAGCAGCATGGAAGGGACTGGGTGAGGTTTAAGTTCACTGGGTTCTAGTTCACAACTACTGCTGAGATGCAGACAAATGAAGGGGCTGACCTAGCAAACTGTGCTGACTTTATAGATACACAGATGTAGATGCAATTATATACTTTATTTGTTGTCTGTATGTTATAAAGTGTTTTTAAGCAGTATCAAGTGGGACACAAGCTCTGAAGGCAGCTCAGCCTCACCTCCCAGTGGCAAGTGTACCCTTGACTGAATTGGAACTGAGCAAGAAGCACCTTCCAGAGTGCAGCTTGTGCTGGTGTCCCAGCACAAAGCTGAACAGTTTGTGCCCTGAGTCTTGCTTCCCTGTTCTGTAACCTTGCAGTGATCAGATCTGCAGTGTCTGCAGCCGTGGATTTCTCCTAATGTCAGTGCTTAAGAACAGGGGGCTGTCCTAACACACAAATTAGCCACTGCTACAATGAGGAACTGGGTACCTTTGCTCTCTGGAGTGCAACTGAATGCAAGATCAGCAGCCACCAGCATTACTGTCCCAGTGCAGTATGGCAGGGTGTGCTGCTCAACTTATTCATGGGACTCACAGACAGCCCTGCAGGCAAACAAACAGGCTGCCTTCCAGCTGTGGTTGCCTCTATGTGCACTGGGATAGCAGTGGTTGGGAAACCCACTGCAGCAAAGCTGGGTAATGCTGCTGCAGGACCCCAATGGGCTTCCTGCTGCCGATGAGTCCCCATGGCAGTTCCCTTTGGGCAGGGCACAACTGTTCTGTCTGCACTGAACAAACACTGGGGTGATGCTGCCTGTGGATTTGCCCTAGCTGGCTCCAAAAGCAGCAGAGCTCACATACCCAGCACTCTTGAAGCCAATACACCCTGTTACCTGGCCAGCCTGGAGCCAGCTCGAGTGCTGCTGTGCCCATTGTGCACAATGGAACACTGACTCGGTCTGTGAGGGCTGGCCCTGCCCTGCAGGTTTGTGAACCTAAAAGCACTATGAAGCAGCCTTGTTCCAGCAGCCAGAGGGTGAGGAGAGGACCAGTGCAGTTCCCTGTAGGTGCTGTTTTGTACAGCTGACCCTGGGGCACAGACTTGACTAGCTTACCTGCTTCCCCTGAAGATGGAGTGCACAGCAGTAGGTTTGTTTTCTGGCTGCTGGTGGACTTGGCCTGTTGTGGTCAGTCTTGAGAGCAGCTGTACACTGCTGAGGTGGTGCAGTAGGCAGGGTAGAGAAATGTACCTTGGCAATGAGTGAGAGCGTCTCAACTTTTTTCCTCCCAGTAGGCTCTCGTGACAGGAAGGCAACCGGGAGACTCTCTTCACCCAAGGAAGAACGACAAAGGGGCCAGAACCCAAAACCTTCTCCTATGCAGACAGACAGGTCAGTGCCCACTTGTTCTCATGGGTCTCGGGTGGGCCAGGCTGGGGCTCATGCTTCTCCAGTGGTTCAGCCCCTCCTCTCAGGACAGGTCTGAGGCTCTCTAGCCATAGTTTCCAGTTGCTACGGAGGCACAGGAGGAAGGACGCCAAGATCCCAGGGTGGGAGCCAGAGGTGCCATGGGGTTCATGTGGAAGCCACCGGCTAAGCCATTCCAGCTCAGAAATGAGCAGGAGCCTGGGGGTTTTCTTGAGGTCAGTCCCAGAAAGAGTAGCCAACTGGGTTAGGTGCAAGCTCAGTCATGCCGCTGCCTCTGCCTCTGCCTCTTGCTAGCACTGCGTAGCGCTAATGAGAAAGAAAGTACAATCACTTCCTCCTGCTGCCAAGCTCCTTGTGGCACCTGACTCAGGTGCCCAATTCTCTTTATTCTATAGCCTGTCATACTCTCAGCTGCTCACTTTGCTGCTGTGAGGTGTTAAAATGTGGCACCTGCATGAGACTGGTAACTAGCTCTGGCTTTGTACCTTCCCATTCCTTCTGGTGATGGGTGTCCAGCTTGTGTCTGATTTCTTGGTAGCCTGCACTCACTGCTGTGCTAGGAATATCCCTTTACAGAACTGGATGTGTGGCTCCAGGGGCCTTGGGCTTTGCTTCACTCGGAGCCCTTTGGCTAAAAGGTTGTGGAGCACCTTCTGCAGCACACCTAAAGCTTTCTCGGTCTTCCTTGCCTGTAGCCAGACGGTGCTGCTTTGCATTTCTCTCTGCAAGGATCTATGAGCAAACGAATGCAGCCCTGTCCTACACTCCCATGTTCCTTGGCAGGTGGGACTCGCATCATCCCCTTTTCCCAGCCTGGGGCATGAGTGAGCCTCAAGTTCTGTGTATCAGTCTTCCTAAACCGAAACCTAGCCCTGTATCTTGTTACTGCTTGGGGCTGTTTGGGTCATGCTTGCACAGCCATGCTTCTCTTAAGTGTAATATGAAAGGGTACAGCTGGTATTAACAGAGGGGATGGTGATTCCCACTGCTGACATCTGGCAGCAGCAGTAAAGGCTTTCCCAAATGATCCAGGTCATTAGAACCAGCCAAGGCTCACACTTTTCTCTCTGTGTCACCAAGCTGGTGGCACTGCAAAGCCCTGGCAGGCTCATGATGCTGCTCTGCTTCCCCATCCTGTCATACCTCTCCACCCAAGAGGGGAAGTAGTGGCCTGTGGCCTGTGGTGGGAAGAGCCACAGGCCACTTTCCTCCAGCCCCAGTCATTACCCTATCCAGGAAAAGCCACTGCTGCCAGCAACAGGGACTGGTGGCTCCCGTCTTCCCCATGCAGGGTCAGCCATACTCCTGCAGCAAAGCAGCATCAGTGTAGACTTGGAGTGCAGTGCTGGGTGCTTGTGAGCTCCCCACAACTCTGAAATCCACACCAGGGCAGAGGCTGTTGGGATCTGAGACAGCGGGGATGCTCCAGGTCTGCCCTGCACTAACCTGTGCTACTCTCCCCTCTTCCCTTGCGTCCCTGCAAGCTCCCTTGCACGTGCACAACCCCCAGTGAGCTTCTCACAACAGCCTTTGTAAGCTGATTTTAAATCTCGGGATCCCCCTGGAGCAGCTGATCTTTTACTGTTTCAGCCACTTTTCCAAACAAAGGCCTTGTGTCTCAAACCTATTTTCTTCCACCAGTGCTTAGAGATGCTTCCTACTGGAGCAGACAGTGATAGAGTTTGTTTCCAGCATTGTGTGCTGCTCCCTCTCACCACCTTCTTCAATCTCTCCCTTCCAGGAAGCGCCAGCTCTCACCTCAGTCCAAGAGCTCCAGCAAAGTCACAAGCATACCAGGCAAAGCATCAGAGCCAGGCCCCATGGGTGCCAAGGCAGGCAAATCCAGCACCCTGTCCCGACGAGAGGAGCTCCTGAAGCAGCTCAAGGCGGTAGAAGATGCCATCGCTCGCAAGCGGGCCAAAATCCCAGGGAAAGTATAGTGGGAAGTGCCCCTGAGTGACTGTTCATTTTTTTTATAAAGAGTGTCAAAGCAGCCACTTTGGGATTTTGCAGTTCTGTCTTGTTTTGGCTGCAATTCTTTAAAAAAAAACAAACAACCAAACCCACACAAAAAAAAACACAAACAGAAAAAACAGATTGAAGTTTTATCAGCTAAGATACCTGCAATGCCTCACTCCATAAGATGTTCCATGTAAATTATGCACAGAGGACTTCAGCCCCCTCCCCCTTTCTCTCTGCCCTCTCTCCTCTTTGCTAGCCTAGTATTCTCCTAGTTAGCCCTTCTGTGTCGAGTGTCTTCAGCAATGCAGTTCTATACACTCTGTAATGAGAGAGTCAAAAACTGCTGTGAACTGCTGGCAACATCAACTTCTCCCCCCCCCCCCAGGAACAAATATATATATATATATATATATATATATATACGCATTCTTTACTAAAGTCTCATTGGGAAAATGGCCAATCTTATTTTTGGCCTATGCTTATTTTAAGCAGCAGAATGTCTTAGTTGACTCAAGAGGAGCTCTGAAGACGCTGGGGGCATGTCTGTCTAACAAGGGAGAGTCCTTTTCCTCATGGTTCTGCCCCCCCCCCATCTTTCCTTTTTTTGTTTTTTTTTTTTGAGGGATCTCCCTGAAATAAAGTATTTTGATAACCACTTCTTCCTTTCTCTATGTCCTGGGTTCAGCAGTAGCAGTCATTTTTCTCCTTCTCAGTAGCTGGTGCAGTGCTGTGGTTTTGACTTTCAGCCTGGGAATAACACTGATAACACCAGTGTTTTTAGTTGTTGCTAAGTAATGTTTACTCTGACCAAGGACTTTCTGAGTCTCATTCTCTGCCAGGGAGGAGGGGAAGCCGGGAGGAAGCAGAGACAGGACACCTGACCCAAACTAGCCAAAGGGTTATTCCATACCACAGCACGTCATGCCCAGTATAGAAACTGGGGGAAGTTACCAGGAAGGGTTAGATCACTGCTCAGGTCAGGCTGGGGATCAGTTGGTGGGTGGTGAGTGGTTGTATTCTCTTCCTTTTTTATTTCCCTTATCATTATTATTATTGGTGGTAGGAGCAGTGGTTGTGTGTTATACCTTAGTTACTGGACTGTTCTTATCTCAGCCCGTGGGAGTTACATTCTTTCAATTCTTCCTCCTATCCTTCCGGGAGCAGGGGGAGGAAGGAGGGGGGGGGGGAGTGAGCAAGCGACTGTGTGGTTCTGGGTTGCCAGCTGGGCTTAAACCATGACAGTTCTTTGTGGCACACAACGTGGGGCTGGAAGGGTTGAGGTAACGACAGATCTGACCAGAGTGTGTTTAATCATATTTGTGATAAACATTCATTGTTTTGGATTAATAGTCACTCATCACAATGCTGTTTTATTGAATCTCAAAGTTGTTGCTCTTGATCTCAGAGTTTCAGCATGTTGTACCTTACTTACAGCTGGTATTTGCTGTTTTAGTGTTTATGGGTTGGGGGCTGGGCTAAGGTTCTTGTTTCACTGTACTTTATGGTAATGACTTCTAATACAATAGACTCATTGATCATGAAACTGAGCTAGAATGCGTTCTCAGCGTGGTCATTACCTCTATACTTTGGGAGGCATGTAATGGAATTTTTTAGCAATTAATTACACATCTTTCTTTTTCCTTTCCTCGGGTGGTCAACCTATGAAGGAGACATTCCCTCACACCCTCTGCTCCCCCACCAGGCTATTTGCAGTGGGAGTAGATTCTGGAAGAGTTAAAGATCCTGAATATCCTTTCAATGCCCTTGAAAGCACCCTGCTCTTCTTGCTGGGAACCAGCTTGTTCCTGCATATGCTCTCTCTGTTTTGCCTATGGTGTGACCACCCTGAGAACACTCGATCTTGTCTGATCGTGGAAGCTAAGCAGGATCTGGCTTGGGTCTTGTCTAGGTTTAAACGATGATGTAGGAAGACCACCAACAGATTTTCCCCGAGGCTGGACAGTCATGAGTGGCAGGGTGTGTGGGGTTGTATGGGCAAGTACCTAGTCCAGTGGGCCCCTCCAGTGCTTTGGAAGCATCAGAGATGGAAGGCAGCTCTATGGAGTCCTCGACGACAAGTTGCAGAAACTGCTGAAGGAGAGGTTGAATCTAGCCAGTTTACAGAGGTGAAAGCCATCCAGCTGGCCTTGGACATTGCTGAACGAGAAAAGTGGCCAATACTTTCTCTCTATACTGACTCATGGATGGTGGCAAATGCCCTGGAGGGGTTTTTGCAGCAATGGAAACAGAAGCAACTGGCAAAGCAGAGGTAAACCCATCTGGGCTGCTGCACTGTGGCAAGATATCGCTGCCCAGGTGCAGAACCTGGTGGTGAAGGTACACCATGTAGATGCTCATGTACCTGAGTCAGGCCACTGAGGAACACCAGAACAACCAACAGGTGGATAAAGCTGTTAAGATTGAAGTGGCTCAGATGGACTTAGATTGGCAACATAAGGGTGAATTATTTTTGGCCTGGTGGGCCCATGACACTTCAGGGCATGAGGGCAGAAATGCAACATACAGATGGGCTCATGATCGAGGGGTGGATTTAACAATGGACACTATTGCCCAGGTCATTCAGAAATGTGAAATATGTGCTGCAAGTAAACAAGCCAAGTGGTTAAAGCCTCTTTGGTACGGAGGACGGTGGCTGAAGTATGAATATGGGGAGGCCTGGCAGATGGATTATATCACGCCCCCACCAACCCGCCAAGGCAAGCACCATGTGCTTACGATGGTGGAAACAACTACCAGATGGCCGGAAACACACGCTGTGCTCCACACCACTGCCCGGAACACTATCCTGAGCCTTGAGAAACAGATTTTGTGGCGACACAAAAAATCTCTTTGCGTGTCCGTGGATGTGTATATATATATATATGAGACAAGAGTGATGGTATACTGAAAAATGTGGAATCTGAGCATGACATGAATGGTGTGGAATAACAGGTAGATGCAGTGTTGTGGTTTTCACTTTCAGCCTGGGAATAACACTGATAACACCGGTGTTTTTAGTTGTTGCTAAGTAATGTTTACTCTGACCAAGGACTTTCTGAGTCTCATGCTCTGCCAGGGAGGAGGGGAAGCCGGGAGGAAGCAGAGACAGGACACCTGACCCAAACTAGCCAAAGGGGTATTCCATACCACAGCACGTCATGCCCAGTATAGAAAGTGGGGGGAGTTACCAGGAAGGGTTAGATCACTGCTCGGGTTGGGCTGGGTATCGGTCGGCGGGTGGTGAGTGGTTGTATTCTCTTCCTTTTTTATTTCCCTTATCATTATTATTACTGGTGGTAGGAGCAGTGGTTTTGTGTTATACCTTAGTTCCTGGACTGTTCTTACCTCAGCCTGTGGGAGTTACATTCTTTTCTTTCTCCTCCCCATCCCTTCGGGAGCTGGGGAAGGAAGGGGGGGGAGTGAGCAAGCGGCTGCATGGTTCTGGGTTTCTGGCTGGGCTTAAACCGCGACACTCTTCCCTGCATCCCCTGTCCTCCATCTCCCTTTTGTTGGAGGGCCTGTCTGTTGTGTCCGTCCCCCCCCGTCCCGTCCCCCCCCCAGGCTCAGGGTGTGTAGTTTATTTGTCATGCTCTTCTGATGTCCCTGTGGTTGCATCAACTCTGCTGCCACCACAAGCAGCCCCATGAAGGTGGAATTGCTGCCACATTGCTTGGGGGGGGGGGGAGCCCTGTGTCCTGTTGCTGCAGGTGCCTCGTACTCCTAAGTCCTCCCAACCTGCAGCTCTGCCTTTGCACCCAGTATCCCACTTGTATTAGATGTTAGCAGGGGGCTTTGTGGGCTCAGCTTCACCTGGTGTAAACTGGGGGTGCCTCTGGGTTTATCCAGCCCTTTAGGGGTCCCCACTTTTGTGCTGTGGTAAGAGGCTCTGTGTGCCTTGTGCCTGCCTGCTTGGGAAGTGTGACCCCCTAAAAAGTCACTGACAAAATGGGTATGAAGCCTGTAATTTTGGTAAAAAAGCAAAGTGTGGCTATGCATGGTCCTGCAAAGCTTTTCCATGTGCTTCCCAGTAATGTTCTTCCTGCTATACGGGGAGTGCTGTGCTGCGATGCAGATAAAGCCTGAGCCCTGACCCCAAATCCTTTCCCTGGTGAGCCCAAGCCTAGCTCTGCAACAGGAGGGTGCTCATGGAATGATGTAGGGAAAAAAACAACCCTCTCTTCATCCCTGAAACAGCTCCTCTGTTCCCACCGCATCCTCTCTGCTCAGCACCATCATCTTGGCATTGAGCACTAACATCCCTCAGTGCTGGACCAGGCAGCATCAGAGGGGGTAGCCACTGCCCTTTCCAAGGTTGCCCAGTTTGGGATTTCTACTCCAGGAACCTGATGGTGATATCACTGTCAGGCTTACAAAATGGGGCCATGGCCTAGGGCACAGGGATCCTGTCCCCATGGGTCACTGGAGGGCTGGTGGGCTGGCGGGTGGGTACCCAGGGCATCCTGTGCCTGCCAAAGTGGGCACAGGATACCCTGGGTACCCATCCACCAGCCCCTCTGTGAACTGGACCACACATTCTCACATTGTTCCATGCCCATCATTAGGGCATCAGGGTAACCAAACTGGTCGGCACCCCCTTCCCTACATGTCTGTGCATGTCTTGTCACGACCTCCCCCCCCCTCCCCCCATCCATCCACCCACCCAATTTTAGGGATGTCAGGACTCGATTTCCAGGCTGGAACACACAGAGGTGAGAAGAAAGTATTGCCCCCGGGGAGGAGGAAGGACCCCAGAGCTGGGGGTTCCAGGTGTGTGTACATCACCTGCCTCCTGAGCCCTCTATAATGGCAGCGGTGGTGGAGGTGCTGCCACTTGGCTTGCATCCCCAGAGCAGCAGTTTGGTAGGGACCAACTCCAGCACCCATCACCCTGCTCCTGCGCCCTCCTGATGATAACACCAGGCCTGGGGGGGGCCGGGGGGGGGAGTCTGGGGCCTGGGAGTGTGTCTAGACACATGTGCATTGCAGGGGGTGAGCACACATGGGTGTGTTAAGGGCTCCCCAGCTGATGGGGGGGATGTTGCACGTTGTGGTGTGTGTGTGCCTGTACATGTCAGGCTGGCTGGTGGATATGTGTGCCTGTACATGTCAGGCTGGCTGGTGGATATGTGCATGTTGCTGGGTTTGCACGTGTGTGCGTTGATATGTAGGGAGTATAGTGCTCTATACATGTAAGGGCTGACCAGCACGGGGTGTGCATAGCTCCATGCACTTATACTGATGATAAATACATGTGGCTCTGACCGGAGTGTGTGTCTATGTGCACTTAGAAGGGTAGTTCAGTTGTATGCAGGTGTGCTGGTAACATATGTGTGTTTGCACATATGCATACATTGCAAATACGCATATGTGCTGTTACCACTGAGTGGGTATGTAGATGCAAACAGACTGAGACCACTCTGTGTACACACATCTGTGTGTGCATGGAAGGGTAGTGAGGGGCATGTATGTGTATATGTGCGTTTGCATGTATGCACGTGTGCATGAACGCATGCGTGCTAGTACTGATATAACAACTTACACACATGTTCTGGTATCTTCATGTCTTTGTGTGCATGTGTGCTGATACTGTATGTGTAACTACATATGCTGGCACTGTGTATACACAGGTATTCTGTCTGTGTGTACATAAATAAACATATATGTGTGTGTATGTGCTATGGAGACAAGCTGGGCTTGTTCAGCCTGGAGAAGAGAAGGCTCTGGGGAGACCTTAGAGCAGCTTCCAATGCTTAAAGGGGCCAACAAGAAAGCTGGAGAGGGGCTTTTGACAAGGGCCTGTAGGGACAGGACAAGGGGGGATGGCTTTAACCTGCCAGAGGGGAGATTGAGATGAGCTCTTAGGCAGAAGTTCTTCCCTGTGAGGGTGGTGAGGCGCTGGCACAGGTTGCCCAGAGAAGCTGTGGATGCCCCATCCCTGGCAGTGTTCAAGGCATGTTCAGTGTTCACTTCTCCATGGTGAAGCCCTTTTTCCACTTGCTCCTGGGGTACTCAAGCAGACAGACCAAGACGCCTGCCACCCTGGGAAGGGGTCAAGGAAAGGGATGCTCGGGGCCAGGATGACTCCTTATGCATACCACCACCCCCACCCCACGAGGGTCATTGGGGGGGGGATGGGGGCCATGTGGGGTGACAAGGGTGATGCAGGGGGACAGGATCAGCCCCAGCAGGAACATCTGAGGGACAGGATCAGTCCTAGCAGGGACAGTGTGGGGAAAAGGGAACAGAAGCATCCCCACAATGCACATGGGGAAGACAGGGGCCATGTAGGATGACAGGGGCTGTTCAGGGGGGACAGGATCAGCCTCAGCATGGCCAGGCACAACCATGAGGATGAACCAGCCCTGTCTCCTGCCCCCCACCCCACCCCCCATGGAGCCTAGACACCCCACAACTACACTGCAGCAGAAACTCTTCATTTCCTTACAAAAAAGTAAAAACCAGCCCCAGGTCCCATCTTGCCCAGGGGCTGGGGACAGCTTCGTACCAGGGTGGCACCAGCAGAGCTCCCCTGGCACATCACAGTTGTCCCCAGTGATGTCCCCAGTGATGTCCCCAGGCTCAGGCGAAGCAGTGAGGCAGCCCATCTGCTCCCAGGAGGTGCTGCCTGGGGTCTTCCACGAGCTGGGGACCAGGACCGGGCTGTGGGGCAGGAGATGGGTTAGGGGTAGTGGGGGATGGATCTTGGCACCAGGGAGCCCTGCTGCCTGCAGGGACCTCCTGTTGGGGCTGTGGGGCACGAGATGGTTTAGGGGTAGCGGGGGATGGATTTTGGCACCAGAGAGCCCTCCTGTCTGCAGGGACCTCCTGTTGAGGCTGTGGGACAGCTCTAGTCCCCACAGAACCCAAAAGACCACCCAATGGGTCACACCTACAGGAATGTGTCTAAGGATAGGATCCCGCACACCTCTGGGGATGGGGTCTCATGTACAACCCTGGGGACAGGGACAGAGTCCTGCACACAACCCTGAGGATGGGGAGAGGTATGGGAACGGGGTCCTGTGCACCCCTGGGGATAGGGATGGAGTCTCATGCACAACCCTGGGGATAGGGACAAGCTCTCACACACATCCCTAGGGATGGGAATGAGGTCTTACAGACACCCCTGGGGCTGGGGATGGAGACAGGGTCTCACATACGCTCCCAGAGATGGGGACAGGATCCTATACACCCCTAGGGACAGGGATGGGGTCTCCTGCACAACCCTGGGGACGGGAACAGGGTCCTGCACATCCCGCCTTGGGATGTGGAAAGGGATTGGGTCCCACACATAACCCTGGTGATGGGTAGACGGGTTCCCCTGCCTCAAGGGGTGGATACTGTCCCAGGTTCAGCAGTAGCAGTCATTTTTCTCCTTCTTAGTAGCTTGTGCAGTGTTGTGGTTTTGACTTTCAGCCTGGGAATAACACTGATAATGATGCAAAGGGTTGACCAATGTACAGGGGGGTATTGATGCAAAGGGTGGACCAATGTACAGGGGGGTAGTGCA